AATAACACATTCTTACCATTCTTACTACAACCACCATAGTACCTCAAGTCTCTATGAAGTCCTAATCATATATACAAATTGTCTGCGTTGCGGGTACAAATATCAACTTTAAAAAATGAAACCCCAATGAATACTTAAAATGATTACAATTTTATATGCAAAAAAAAAGTTCCTCAGAATAGTTACCATGACAGCATATATAGAAAAAGACACAAAGAATCAACTTTACGGCGGAGGAAAAGTGACTGAAGTCGAGACAACCAGGTAAGGACCAATAATCTTGCTGATTCTTCTTTGGATTTTATTAAAAATCTCTAAATATATAGCAGGAACATCAGACCATATTTGGCAGCAATAGTCAAAGCATGAACGAATGGTAGACTGATAAATATATGAGATAGAGTCTATCGAGAGAAAATTGTCTAGAACAACACTGTGAAACTACCTTCCTAGCAACAGATCTAGCAATTGATTCGATATAATTTTTCCACTTCATATTAGCAAAAACTGGTAATCCTTACCTTAAATCAAGTGGTAAAAATATTATTAAATTTCCAGCAGTTTCTTTAAATGTCTCGTTGACATTCATTGTATCATAGAATTATCTCAGCCTTATTTACATCTCTAATGTCATATTCTTTGCAAATGTGTTTGGCAACATTCATAGTGTTCATGTGATTATGGGAATGATCATCACTTTCTTCCTTTTACTTATAAATATGATTATCTTTGTATCTGACGAGTAGTGAACATCCGCAAAAGTTTAGTGAGAGCAAGAATTGCTTCTACTTCAGTATCTTTGTAGATCCCAGAAACGCCAAGACTGTATAGTCTCAAAAGTTCCTCAAATTGTCAAGTAATCTAATCTCAATGTTATTGCTTTTTGTACGGTTCCACTATTATAGATAAACCTATGGCAAGGTCCTGATATCGTTTTTAATTTCTCTGCCAGGGTGATATTGATTTCCTCCTCCTTCTCCTGCTCCTTCTTCCTCTTCCTTCTCCTCCTTTTCCTCATTTTCCTCCTCCTCTGCAGTGGCTCCAATAATAATACTATAGTTTGCCAACGGCTCCGAAATTCCATGCAAATCAGTTTAACCTGCACTAAGATTTGACAGTACGCGTAGCGATCAATTGGGATGTGATTTTACACCATATTACTCTTATTTTGTTTTGTTTTTTTCATCATTATGTTGATGGCCTTCATTTTTCTCTGCCACTGACACGTGACTAGAATTCCCATACTTTTGATAGAATTTTTTTAGAAAAAAAAGAACAGTTGCCGCTCCGGAAATTTGAGTCCCCAATCTTCCTGGCCTGCATATCATCCCGCTGCCAAACGGTTCTAAATCTCCTTCTTTCTTTCTTGTCTGTCACAGCTACACAACCTTTTTACTTATTCCGTCACAAACGCGTCATCCAACGGGGTCTATTTCTAAAACGGAAACTTTCGGTTTTTAATTTTTCTATGCATGTTAAAGACAAAGAAATAAAAATTGAATAAAAAGAAAGAAAGAAATACCATGAAAGAAACCATAAGCAAATCAATTGGGCAAATGGCTAGAAATAAATGAATGAACGAAATTCAGGAATTCAAAATAAATAAAAAGACACCAAGAATCAAAGTAGACTAGTCTATTCGAAATGAAGAAATAAAACATTTAATTTTCATGGCATCTTGATCCTTTCTACGCATATCAATCGCCCAACTTATCTTTCTCCACATTTTAATATATCTTTTTCTTCCTTTCTCTGACACATCCCTTCAGCAAATAAGCGACCATGGCTATCCTTTGCAGTTCTAAGCAATGTTTGTCTTCCCGTTCTGTTAATTATTTATACTAATTCTTTATTTTGGTTCTTCTTCCTTTATGTGCCGTGTCCCCTGGGGTCGTAGGTGGTCATGGCTCTCCACCTCCTTCTGTCCATCGTAGCTCTCAATAAGCTTGATCTGCCTAGCTTTTGGAATGCGTCTTCGGATCTCAGCGTCGCACTTTCCGTTCTCTATCAGAACACGTCCCAAATTGTTTGATTTTAGTGTCCCCGATCTTTATATCACATTTCGGGTTCATCCTTTTACTGATCACCATGCATTCTGTCTTGTAGTCCATTGCTTAGTCCATTCTTCTAGCTTTCCTCGCTACGTTATGTAGGAGCTTTTGTAGTTTCTTTTCCTTGTCTGCTATCAGCACTGTGTCATCCGCGTATTGTTAAGATTGTGTCCGCCAATGATGAATCCTGATAGGATTTCCAGTTCTCTCAGACTCGATATTTACCTCTGTCCAACTTGCCTTCAATATGTCCAGTGAGTGTCAAATACTCCATGTACTCTTTCCTAATTATGTCCTAGAAATCAGAACTTTCTCTTTCTAATTATACTGGTTTGATTCAACAGTTTTTTTCTTGTATTTCAAGCTTTAATTAATAGTTCAGACAAATTACATACAAAAAGTGTTTATTCATCAAAATCGGTTCCATTCTATTCCATTGTCTGATGCCAAAATTGTGCTAGAAGTTCAATTTCACGCTTATACCAATTGGCTGGTTTAGGGGCAAAAACTTTCTTCGCCCGTCTTCAACCTCATCCTGGAAACTTTTGAAAAAATAAGCCGTGTCTCGGAAAAGGTGGTAATTTGACAGTGCAGGATTGAGGCAGCACTTCCATCTTTTCAATTTCAACAAGTTTGCTCTTGATCACATTGAAAGTGTGATGCATTGTGCACATCTTTGATTAACCAATGCCATGTAGATGGCTTTCTAAGCATCTAATACTTATGAAGTTGTTAAGCATAAAGGTCAGCGTCTACAGCATGTCCATTTCGCACAAGCTCAATGTGTAACATCATCTTCGAAATTTCGCTAAAATCACAGCATGAGTTTCTGTCCAAACCACCTTTGTTTGACCAATATGTTCTGAAGCTTGACTTGTTAGGGTTATGAAAATAGATCCATTTTTCATACGCAGTTACAATTCAACATCACAAACGGGCATTTTGAGGATTTAACAGCATTTTTTTGCCAATGTTCCCATATCATTGAGTCTGGCTATTTGGTCAATTTATGAATAATTTCTCGATTCTGTTTACAAGGTCGAGCTTTGTGAAGGCTCAAGTTATGTCAACAATGTGCGAGTGCTTGTGCTTGGCTGTTATTTAGTCATTTCAAGCAAGGTCTCATTTATCGCAACAAAACTTCTCACTGACTTTGGTTTATCTTTGAGGCTGGTATCATCTTCCTTGAAATGTCTGGACCAGTTTTGTGCCACACGTTCGTTGACAGTTTATGGACCTCCACCAACAATACTTTCTTTTACTGTAAATGGCTCTAATTGCAACATTTTTACCACTCATCATCAAATTTCTAAAATAAAGAATAAACAATGTTTATAGGCTATATACAAAAATAAAGAATAAACAATTCAGCAACGATTGGACAACATTTTTTGTCCAAGTTGACAAAAACCAACAGAGAAAATCACATAAAATTTGGGACCCAACCTGATGAGTATAAATATCTTTTTCATCCCCATTTTAATTAAACTTTCTCATTGCTCACATGTTATTCTCAGCATCCTTCTGTATAGATTTCTGTTGTCTTGCGCCTCCTCTTCACTTGTGAGGAAATTGGCCAGTAAACATTGCTATATAGAAAGATTGGTGCTTTTCTTTGATTCTAAGGAAATTTTCCTGTTTCTTAATATGCTGTTTAACATTAGAAAGGTATCTTTCGCTATCGCAATGTGCCTTCGGATATTTATGTTTCAGTCTGAGTTCGTAGTAAATATCAAAATGGCAAATGAAGAAATACCCCAAGAAACGAACGAGGAAGTTTTTGTCAAACATTAAAACGAAAGCTAGAATCACTTAACTATTTAATACAGACCTAGGGTAAAAAAATGTTTATATAAGTTTTTACAATAATGTTTACCTTGTACAAGGCGAAAGGAGACATCGGAGGTAGAGAGTAGATAAAACGAGAGAGTCAAGCGATTAAGAATGAGATCAAGAAAATAAGTCTTTTATCAATGAAAGAGAAAAACACGTTTCGTCGTGAATTGAACGAGAAGTCTATTATCGGAGACTTAAAAAGATAAAGAAATAAAAGAACAGATCAAAATTGGCTGGAAAGTTGAAAGAACAAAAAACAATACGTAAAAAGGAACGCAAGAATAACTTGGTTAACAAATAAAAAGCAAAAATTGCAATCGAAAATTCCAGCTTAAGGAATGGCCCGCCACCCGCCAAATCGAATCCTTATAGATTTCAAAACAAAGTAATACCCAAATAGAATATAATTAAGAGTACATTTGTTTGAACGCGGAAATATATAATAATCTTCCCTGTCGTAAGTTTTCAATATTCGGCGTCAGTTTGGCTTCAGCACCAAATAGAATTGGTCAAGAGTTCTTAAACAGCTGTCCTTTGCTTTGCGATCAGATCAATAAAAATGGCCGATTCATCGCTTGTTATTTTCTTTTTAAAGTGACCGTTTAGTGTGTAAAATGAAAATAAAAACAAAAGGAAAAAGGAGGAGAAAGAAAATAGTCTCTGAATAAATATAGAGATAGATGGGGTAATTGTGAGTTGAAGCTTATAGAAACAAAGTCTCCATTCCTCGAAAGTTGGTCACTAATAAGAAGAAATGAGAAGATCGATAGTGAATTTTGAGATTGAAATTTGGACATGAACAGGGAATAATAATAATGTGAAAAGAAAGAAAGAAAACATCATTTCAAAAAAGTACTCAAGAAAAGAAAGAAAATAATTAAAAATAAAAGTATAAAAAAAGGAAAGCGAAAAGACGGAAAAATAAAAAAAAGAGGTTCGGAAGAGTGACAAAGAAAAAGAGAAGAAAGATGAGTACAAAGTCAGTGAAAAAAAAAAAAAACATTGAAAGAAACCGAAAGAAAAAAAAAGAAAATTGGGGATAAATAAGAAAGAAAGAAAGAAAGAAAGAAAGAAAGAAAGAAAGAAAGAAAGAGACAGGTTTCAAATTAAAACAGAAGAAAGGGTGTTAAAAAAAAAAGGAAAAGAAGGAAAAGTTAAAAAGGAAAAAGAAAAATGAAGAAAGAAACAGAATGAAGAAGAAACAAAATAAAGATAGAAATGAAATGAAGAAAGAAAGAAAGAAAACAGAAGAATAAACGAAAGGCAGAAAAAGAAGAGAAAGAAATGAAAGTAAACGACGAAAAAGAGGAAAAAGAAAAAAAAAGATAAGAATAAAAAATAGATTAACAAAAGAACAAAACAACAAACAAAGGAAAATAAAGAAAAGAAAAATATAAAGTGTTTAAGATACAAAGAATAAAAGAAAAAAAAAGAAATGAAATGAAATGCAAAGAAGAAAAGAAAGTGTGAAATAATGAAGGACGTGCAATAAATTAATAAATGAAGATAAATAAGATGAAAAAGAAGAGAAAACGACGAAAGAAGATAAGGAGGAAAAAAAGATAAAAAGTAACAATGGAAAGGATGACTGTCGGGATAAAAAACGACAAAAATAAAAGAAAAAAAAAACGGAAAGAAAAAATTAAAATACAAAGAGGAAAAAGGAAACGAAAGAAATAAAGAAAGAAGAAAAGTTGAATAGAAATCTGTAATGAAAAATAGAGAACGACCGAAACAAAAAATTATAAACATAAAAATATCAATTTTGATAATAAAAACAATAAATGAAGACAGAAATAAAAAAAAAAAACTACGTTTTAGGTGAATGACTACAATCAATGAAGTGCAAACGAGGCAAAGAGAAAAGAACTGAAGACAATAGAAGAGGAAAAAATATCTCAATATTCTCGAAGAAATTGTGAAATCGAAAGATAAAGATAAACAAATAAAAGGGCATAAATAAAAGAAAAATGCAAATAAACGTAAAATAAAAGCAGAAAAATCTGTAAAAAATGAAAGAAAGAAAGAAAGAAAGAAAGAAAGAAAGAAAAAGAAAGAAAAGACTCGATCGAATAAACGAAGAATAAAAAAAGCGACGTAATTGAAAGAATAGATTGGTGGGTGTAAGGAGACCCTAAAATAAATATTTCCGATGAGGTCGGGTAATTAAAGCTAAATGGAACAATGATGAGAATATATTGCTGTGAAAAATAAATAAAAAATGTTGTAGCCAAGAAATTAACAAGTGGCTGGCAGTCATTGGCCTCTATTGATAGACACACGTAGGCTCATCTTTAGACGATGATGTTTTGTAAGAAATCTTTTGGTTTTAAACATAATCAGGTCTTTTCGCTACTCTTACATTGGATACGTTTCATTCCAAATATGAAGAATGAACTGCTATAATCCTCTCTCTCACTCTCCTTCTCTTTCTTCATCCAACCTCTCCACTTCTCTCTCTTTCTTTCTCTTTCCCTCTCTCCCTCTGCGCGATGATTTGTAAACTTGAGTTCCCTGCCCCGCCTATTTGTTTTCATACATACTGACTATTTGAGTAGTGTGCTTGGGGAAAGCAGCCACTTTTCCCACTACCGACTCCATGCATCCGTGTTCATCCACATTCATACATGGAATAAGCTTTTTTCCACCGCCTGAGAATTGTGTGATCACCCAAAAATAGCGAGAGCATACGAAATTGCAATTGCATACCAAAAGCTAGGTAAAACGTATGCTTTACACACACACACACACACACACACACACACACACACACACACACACACACACACACACACACACACACACATATATATATATATATATATATATATATATATATATATATATAATAACTCTTCGTTAAGACGAATCGAGTTCTCCTTCTCCCACTCACTGGCGTGTTTATCTAAAGATAAATATGTCCATATTAATCTTCATCCGTGCACCAATAGCTTAGCGGTAGAGTCTTCAGGTTTCGATATCGGCTTGAAGCAATCGGATGAGCTGTGAAACAGCGAAACAGTCTGTCCGTGGATGAGAATATATATATATATATATATATATATATATATATATATATATATATATAATAATAAAAAGATATACCAAAAGATAAGTAAAAAGCATGTTACATATACATATATATATATATATATATATATATATATATATGTGTGTGTGTGTGTGTGTGTGTGTGTGTGTGTGTGTGTGTGAGGAGGCACGGTGGAGTAATGGATAGAGACTTAGATTGAGGAATCGGAGTGACGTGTTCGGATTCCAGCCCTTTACATAGACTTGGGAAAGGTATGAATCCTCTTCTCCCTCCAACTAAGGGTAAATAGCAGAGCAGACTGTGTTCTATAGCCTTGGATGGCAACTAGTCTACGAGAAGGACATGAATTCAAAACCTGCGTATAGTCGTTTGGGGACTCTGTGGCACGTAATGCACCAAGCCTCTGTATTCGGCCCTTCAAAAAATGTGGATGGTTCTGAACAAGACCTTCATCAGTATAATCAAATCTTTGCTGGTGTCGGGCTGTCGATTCCTAGGAACTGATCCCTTCGACCCTCATAAGTCGAATTCGACGGAACGGAATATATATATATATATATATATATATATATATATATATATATATATATATATATATATATATATATATATATATATATATATATATATATATATATATATATATATATATATATTTACGTGAAAAAAAGTTCTCTTGTGTGCAAAAAAAAAGAGATTATTGAATTTAGTGAGTGTAGAAATGAACAAAATGATTGTTCGTTCTAGGCATTTTCCGATAATCTGATAGCCATTATTAAGGATTTTGCTTGTACTAATATAAATGGTGTGTGAGTGTGATTGGAAATGCTATATTAGCTGTTGAAAACAAAAATAAACGATAAGAACACAGCTCTCAAAATGTAGTAGCAATAATATTAATATATTTCATCAAAATCAGAAATCACCGATTCCTAATTTAGTTTGCAGATTTTCTTTCACTTTTTCATTTCCATAATATTCTATTCTGCAGCTTTTGTGGTCGATCCAAAATGATTGAAGTGTTTTGGAAATTCAAGAGGGTTTCTGAAATATCCTTTCTTCAAACTCCAAGGTCTTTAGCCGTTGATTGCTGACTCATATTCTTCGCCATCTTTATCTTGGTTTTTCAGTGGAAATTTTCACCATGATTTCAAGCAAAGGAAGTAAGTAGACATTCGATGTAAGAATGATGCTATATTGTAAACTGTCGGAGTCGTTATGAAAATGTCAACTGTCCGAAAACATTTCCACAGGCGGTTTCATCTTCCCATTCACATTTAGAACCTTTCCTACAAAATACGATAATTATGCATATAAATGACACCAGTAGGGCCAAAATATTAAACCTATGGAAAGGGCGGTGTTAAACGACCATCTATAAAACTAGCAATTATTAGAGATTTAGAAATATTTCAAGTAAATGAAAACATTTACAGACTATTGTAAACACCCACACGAATATATATATATATATATATATATATATATATATATACGCGCGCACACAACTCGGATTGAGGAATCGCAGCTCAAATTCCAGTGGAGTTGATACCATTCACTTACGTGCTAATACCCTTGAAATTAATACATCTCTGAAATAGACTGGGTCCTATAGCCTAGGAGAAAGTCAACACTGAATTCATAATCTGCGGGGATCGTTTGGTGACCTTGTGTCATGCTGTGGACCAGTTTTCTATATTCTCTTCTAAAAAGATAATCAAATAATATGTGCAGGTAGTTTGGCTGCTGGTTCTAAGAACCTAGATACCTGAGCCACATACATGGAAAACGACATCAAGTCTAGAAGAAACTTGAACAGAATGCAGAAAGCATTGCCCCCCCCCCCCCGAATATTCTCAGTAATGGATGCGCACTGCTGATGAGTCCCAAATATTGGACGAAACGGCCGTCCAGTGCTTTCTGCATTCTGTTGAGGTTTTGATGAATTACTTAATTATGATTATCTCAAATCCTCCTAATAATTTCTATCACTTTCCCACTGTGTTTGTGTGTGTGTGTGTGTATGTGTGTGTGAGAGAGAGTGAGAGAGAGAGAGAGAGAGAGGGAGAGAGAGGGAGGGATTGGAGGGTGGAAAATAAGTCTTCTTTAACAAGGGTTCGGATACACACAGGTGAGCACACAAAAACTTGTACACACCTGCGCGCGCGCGCTTACACAAGCGGATAGGCACATGCGCACACACGTACGAGCGTGCACGCACACACGCGCATATACAGACTTTTTTTCATTTTTGCATATTCTTCGTAATTAATTAATTTTTCTCTCTGTATCACGGGCTATACATGCAGAGAGAGAGAGAGAGAGAGAGAGAGAGAGAGAGTGCGGCAGAAACATCTCCCACATATAGTTCCCAGAAATACCTCTGTCTATACCTTCTGGGGGGTATAAATTGAAGGTATTTCTGCAGTACCATCTATAAATATAAATTTAGACGTGAATTTGCTTGGAATAAATATGAGAAAATGATCAAAGTTAGTAAGCAAGAAAGAGGTGGACTTGAATATTGGTTTCTCAGAATATAAAAACGAACGCCATCCCAGTCGAAAGCAAGTTTTCCTTATTTTTCTTTGGTTTTTCCCACTCCAGTTTTTGCTTCGATTGTTTCGTTTAAAGCGTCTTTAAGTCTCTATTCACCTTTGTGCAACATTCCCGGCCAATCCTGCATCTCCATGAAGCCAACTTGACCTCTTGCATCTTATTTGTCGTGACTGGAGGCCTTTGCTCTTAACCGATCCCAGTCGAACTCTATCTCTAGCCTTTCACATCTCTTAACTCCTTTACAGTTTACCTTTGCTCCTCAACGTTTGACGTGATGAATTGCTTCTGAGGACAGAGGTGGCTCAGGCACACGATTCTGTGCAAACTGAATAAGAAGTAAAAACATACGGTAACATGTGTGAGAGTTGCTTCTGACCAACTAATTAAAACTTTGTTCTTTTCTTATCATTGTCTATTTACTTATGTTCGGTTGACGACTGAGCGGCTCTGGCGATTTTCTCTTGCTTGAATGCGGGCGGCTATCGGAACGTCCAACCAGATTCGCAATGAGGTGTCAACAATCCCTTGATTAATATCAAGAAAACGTATCATCACCAACAACAACAACGCCATTAATATTCAACCCTGTTATTTCCAATAGCATTTTCTTTCGCGATAACTAAACGCCATCTTTTCATTACTCTTATCAGGTTTTTATTTGTTTCATTTTTTTTCATGTTTCTCATTCAACTTATTCGTCATCTTTGCCATCAATTTTTCTTTTTTTTCTTCCATTTTGGTTTTGTCTGTCATTTTCTTTTCACTTTTTTTTTTATATTTCCCACACCCTTTTTCTTTTCTTCTGTCTTCCATTTATTCAAATATTTTTTTCTTTTTCCATTGTTTCTTTTTTTATTTTCTTTCTCCTTCTTCTCCATGTCCTGTCTTTTCTGGACGTAAGCGGTCATGGCTCTTCACAATCACCTATCACTTGTAGCTCTTTTCGCCAAGTCTCTTGTTCCGCCATGAACTCAAGCAAGCGTGCCAGGGAGGAGGTGACTCGTTGTTTTCTGCCTCATTTGTATTCGATATACACTGTGACTGTCAAATTCTCCAAGCCATCATCCTCTTTATGTGTCTAAGTAATTTCATCTGTCTCTTTCTGATTCTGGGTATAGGGAATCATTTTTTTCCACTTTCTTTAAGACTTCTTTGTTGCTTATACACTGCGATTTATTTTTTACGGCTTATCAACCCTTTGTGTATAATCTAAAGCTGAAACATATTTTGGATTGTAAGAATGATCCTTTCTAGCGAGTGAATATTGCATTAAAATTGTTTTCGAGAAGTCAATAAATTTTCCAACTAAAATTAATACTATTTAACCCATAGCTGAGGCAAAAGAAAGATATTCATATATTTCTCAATGATATTTGCACGTAAGTGAATGTGGAATTCGACAGGAATTCAAACTCGGTTTTCTGATTTTTCATTCCGGATTGTTATACATTACATATACGCGCTCTGTCTATAGAATACTTAGCATCCTTCTGTAGAACCACATTTCTGTTGCCTAATGTCTTCTCTTCATCTGTGAGAAGTTTGTCTATTATTCACTGCGATACAGGATGATTGATATTGTATAACAGTTCAGCATCCATTCCTTTGTTTCTAACAGAATTTTCCTGTTTCATAATACTTTGCTTAGCTTTTGATATGCAGATTTTACTACTCAAATGCGATTTCAGATTTGTTAAAACACTTCTCAGATATTTAAACTTCAGTAGTTGGTTGATCTTGACATCTTCAATTCGTAGCTTTCTTCAAAATACATTTATTTCATATTCATTATTTTCGTTCACCCAGTCTGGTTCCCACTTATTTTCGAAAGGCCTTGTGGGTAATGAATTATTTTCCACTCCACATACCTTTTTCCTAAAGACGTTACCAGCCTCTCGCTACTCTATGGCTATTTTCGTAGTAAATGTTCAGACGAGCTACATACCTTACTTCCGCCAACTCAGACTTTCACAGCTAGGCCCGACCATGCCGTATACACGGGCTCGGCTCATCTTCATTCCCTTTGCATTGCATCTTCTTCGTTCACCTTTTCAATTCCTTCTTACCTTTGTCGGCTTCTATTTTTCTTGCTTCCTGAGAGATCCCAGCTTGGATCCTCACTGGGGGCCGCGGTCTTTGTTGACACGCGTAACGACCGATGCGGTTTAGCAATATTTTTCGTTGTGTCAGCATAATAGTCACATTCAGGGGGCCAGGCCTCATCCTGTTATTTTTTTTACTATTGTTATTGTTAACAACAACAATAACGTATTCATTTATAAGCGTTTGCATCCCAAGAAGACACGATGTGCTTCATGAGACTCCGATACAACTTCAATTTTCAACGGAATTTCTTTGACTTTTTCTCTCTTATGTTCAGTAATATGAAACTATATTCAAATCTCCCTAATGTTCTTATTACACGAATATATTTTACACATATATAATATTAATATATAATTATTAATATTTAAAGAAAAGTTTATTATGAGTGTTTGTATTGTATGGCTTATAAAGTAAATATTGTCACACATTATGAAATCGACAAAGTCCGACATTTATTTCAAGATATTTGTATTTTTATACATTCTTTTTATAGATACAAATATTTAAGCAAATGCTCTGTTTTATAATAAACAGTATTAATAACATTTACCGGCCTGAATGTCCGAAAAATTTTCATAGAAAATATTCGTTCTCTGACAGGGATCGAACCTGTATCCTATACGGAACCGTCATTTAGCCTGACCTGCCTTAACGGATCGAGCTACGGAGAATCGTTCGATTAGCAAGGTCGATTTTACTGTTTTTAAAATTCAATCTTCCATGAATCTCTCACGTACATTCAGATCTGCTCACAGCGTATCCAAATGTAAACAAATGACGTTACACATTATGAAATGGATAAAGTCCGACAATTTTTTAAAGATATTTCTATGAAAATTTCTCGGACATTCAGGCCGGTAAATGTCTTAAAATAAATATTGTATATAAATTACTAATAAATAAATAAATAACATTAAGAATATAAAAATAACCGAGAAGTCACTATCATTACAATCACCGCCACCATCTTCATCACAACTACCACCACTATTACTACTCCTCTTTGTTTCTCTTTCTTGTTGCTATCTATCTATCTATCTATCTATTCTATCTATCTATCTATCTATCTATCTAAATATCTATCTATTATACACTGTACCTATAACTCTAATAGGTATGTCTCAATCCTTATAAATACGTTGGGCACTATTGTAAGTGGGGGTAATATGCTGTATAAGTAGTCCACCACTAGCTGTGGTTTACCTACTTTACGTCACTGGCGAGTATTCTATTTTGTTGATGTTATAAAGATTACCATTTCATTTCCAACCTCCGTTTTGGTTATTCCTCATTCAGTAACCCTTTTCTAGGTTATATCACTATCTATCAGTGTGGTTATTTATACTTCAGCTTTCTTTAAACGAACAATAATTTATATATTAAAAAATAATTTCAAGTGAACATGAATTAAAAGTATTTTTTGGCTTATTAAAGAATAATTTCAAGTTAATCTAATTTAAAAAAATATTTTAAGTGAATAATATTTAAGAATACGAGTTGTTTATACAGATAAACAATTTTCTTTCCAGTGTTTTATAACCAGAACCGTCAGTGAGCCAATGGGTCACGGGGTGTCTATAATATAATCAAAAAAAAGAAAGCTGTAATGCACATACTTATATTAGAGATTCAATGATAATCGTAATATAAATACTTATATCTGTTATTTAATAATAACTTTCAAATAATTTCAGTAATTCTATTATATTTATTTGTTTTAAATTAAATATAGTCTATTAGTAATTAAAAGTTAAAATAATATTGTAAAATTGTAGTTCAATACAACGCATTCTAATTCAAACACCCCTTTTAGAAAGAATCTTTATGTATACAAGTACAAATTTAACCGATAAAAATGCCGAAAAATTTTTAGTTGTTTAAAAAAAAAAGATGACATGCGTTGAACTGATGTCATATTCGGTGGAAAATGCATTCCTACCTTACCTAGGCTTAACCTTTTTCGAAAGTAACTCATATTTGATACAATAGTTGTTAATAAAAATGAACACGCTACCGCCCCTATCTAAATGATTGGATTTCTCTGTATCCTTGGAAACAAATATTATGAATGTATGCGCTTTTTTAAATTTCAAAATAAGTTATTCTTTGTTTGAAAGTAAAACAGAACAATTGGTTTTAGTTTAATTAAATAATTGAATTTGAAGTTGTTTATTTCTGTTTTTGAAACATGGTAATTCCTGTGTAGCGAAAAAAACCATATTTTTAAATCGGTTAATATATATATATACAATTACACATAGATATACATGTATTAAAGACATTTTTATGTTTAACATTCTTATTATAGATACAAGTATTTAAGTAAATGCTCTGTTTATATATAAACAGTATGAAATAACATTTACCGGCCTGAATGTCCGAGAAATTTTCATAGAAAATATTCGTTCTCTGACAGGGATCGAACCTGCATCCTATACGGAACCGTCATTTACGCTGACGTGCCTTAACCGAGTCGGACACAAAGGAGCGTTCGGTAGGCAAGGTCGAATTTACTGCTTATAAACTTCAATCTTCCATGAATCTCGTACATTCATAACTGCTCATGGCGTATCAAAGGTAAACAAATGACGTCATACATTAAGAATTGGACAAAGTCCGACAATTTATTAAAGACATTTCTATGTTTAACATTCTTTTTATAGCGTTCGGTAGGCAAGGTCGAATTTACT